ACGTCTCCTACTAGTGGGCCGGCATTGTGGCCTTAGACCCACTACTACTGAAAGGTAACTCACCTCACACTGCTGAATCCCGAAGACCTCACACTGCTGAAGTCCCGAAGACACAATCCCACACTTGCTGAAGTCCCGCAGACTCGACCCCAGCTGCTGGCTGACAGATTCCCGAACTGTCAACACCAAAATAACACCCAATTAATAATTGGGTCCCAATACATAACCATAAGTACATTCTTTGGGTAATTACTACATTACCCCTAGCTTGGCTTATTCAAGCCCAAGGCCCAATCCATAGGCCCAAAGTCGACTAGGAATCAAAGCCCAACACATGGCCCAATTTTCCAAATTGGGCCCAGGCCTATACATGGTCTTATTCTAAGGCCCAACATCATACAATCATTAAGGCCCAACTATGGTCCATCTATGGCCCAATTTTACAAATTGGGCCCAACCCCTTACATGGGACTTACCCTAGGCCCATTAAATCATTTTAGACTATATAATTATTCTTGGATGGCCTATTGTTAATCCAATCATCAAGGCCCAATAGAAAGGCCCAACAATAAACCCAAGTGAAATTAGGGTTTCACATAAAATGATGATTAGGGTTAAGTTTCCTACTTAACCCATTAAGGACTTAATCCATTAAGTCCATTATCGCTTAGATTAATCTTTGCCAACGCTTATTATTTAATATCTCAAGTTATTAAATAATTCTTGTGTGACCCGAATAATTATTAAAGTTAGGGTTTTAATGGCATTAGGGTTTTCCAATCCAAATATTAGCCCATTTATCAATTTGTTGGCCTTTTATGTCAATTAGGGCTTTATCGGGCCTATCAAGCCCACTAACATATTATTAAGCCCATTAGGGTTTTATTGGGTCCATTAGAGCCCCTTAAGCTTTGTTAGGCCCAATAGGGTTTCAAGGCCCATTAGGGTTTTAGTCCTTTGTCTAATCATCCAAACGAGTCCAAACACCATCAAAGCACACCGCCACCCGACATGGCGGCCGGTGGCGGCAGGAGGCGGCAGCCACCACCCTACGGTGGTGGTTTCGAGTTTCATTCCATTATTCTATTTTGATACAAATTACAATGCTAAAAACTCAAATAAACACACACCCACACACTAAGATAAACACACACATATGGCGGCACATGGTGGCAGCCACCACCTCACGATGGTGGTGGTGGACTCTCCGGCCACACAAACACCCATACAACTCCAACGAAACCAGTAGCAGCAATTTCACACGAACATACACCCATAAACACACCCACGGCAACCTTTTACGGTGGCTAAGGGTGGCAGAAAAGGAACTAGCGGCGACAGCCACCATGGTTGGCAGCCATGGTGGTTTCCTCGGGTTTTCCGACCAACCAGCACACACCAAAAGTATTGAAACGCGCACAAACCCACGGACAAAACACCCACCATACATATATACTTCGAACATGGAGGAGGATGACGGCGGCAATGAAAAGACCGGTGAAACGAACCAGCGATTGCGACTGTGGTGCTCCGATTCTCGACTTCTTCTTCTCGTCAGAAAGCCAACAACGACAGCAGCAAGGCGGCACGGGATGCGGCGGCGGACGAACAATGGAATAAGAGGGTGGTGCGGCGTCGGAAACTGAAGAGACGAGAGTAGCGGTCGCAACATCCCGATGAGTGGCAGCGACGATCCACAGCAGCAACCTCCAACGACCTTGCATACTTTCCGGCGTAGGGGAATTGGCTCCGGCGGCTGGAAGTTGAAGAGGTGAGGGTGGCTGCTGGAGATCTTCCGATGATGGCGGCTGCCTTCATGCCAGGGTTAGGGTTATCATGCGATGGGTTTTATACTCCCGTAGCCTATCACACGTTTCTCCATAACAACACCTTTGGTCCCTGCCTTTTCTTATTCTTTCAAAATGAGGCCATATTTTACCCTTTCTACCCTAACCTCGGAAATCCTTTTCAAATTCGACCCTTAAATTACCAAACAGCCCCCATAGTCTTAATTACAACATAATTGACCTCTCCACCTCATTTCCTTTTTAAAATTAATTCCAAGTAATTACCACGGAGTCCCTGTCTTCATAAATATTTATAAAATGGTTCCCATACACACACTATTAACCCCCGACTTATGGAAATGTGGAAATTAACTCCTCCAACCCAACACCCTGCATATAATTATTTATTTTAGGCTACCATTCGTTCATTAATTTATTTATTTAACTAATAAATAAACTGGGTTTTACAGTAATCCAACTGTTAACCGGATGCAATGGCCTTATATATACAGTTACAAAGAGTCTGAAACAAACTCTAAAAACTATAATAGCCAGGAAACCCATGAAGTTGTATGTTTCATATGAATTATTTATTCCTATCATTTTTGAGATATTATTAATGGTTTAAAGAAAAGACTCTAGAATAAAACAAGTACTTACAAGTTTATTGATTAATATCAGTTTTTCTCTTACATAGGTGGGAAGAAATTTATAGTTGTTGGTTAAGCTCCGAGAATCAAGAGATTCATGTGATAGATTTTTTGTTGCCATTCAAATTTTTAGTTGCAATTATTTTACTTTCCTATCAATTATTGTTATATTAGGAGCTATATTGTCATGGTTCTTATATAGAGGAATGGTAGATAGGATTATTTTAATCATCTCCTTTTTTCATTACTTTTCACATCAACATAAACCAGCCATTATAATCGTTCAAGATCATCCATTTAATATAGCTTTCTTCAGGGTTTTTTTTTTTCTTTTTGTTTTAAGATTTGATATGCATCGTATGAAATGAAGACATAGAGATTACTTTCGATCTGGCTTTAGCATCACTTGATAAAGCGCACTCAAATTTTCCAAGATTTTGGGTCCTAGAATCAATCAATAGAAATGAGTTAAGCCATATAAAAATATTTCTGAATGAAGGCTCAGCAACATCCACGCCCCAAATCTTATTCCACTGTTACATATACATTTTATTTTCCACTCAAAAGGGTCGCTTTTAAGTGAATAGCAAAGCAACTGTGTTGTTTTTATTTTTTATTTTGAAAATGAAAAAATGGATTAGATAGAATAATAGAAAGGATAAAAAAGTGTAATGATCATACATTGACACGATGTAAACCGACTTTAAACTTACACCATTTGTGATCATTGGATGAGTGAAAATTATTGATGGTTTAAAAGTCGGCTCTTAGCCTCTTAAGGCATTCATAATGCATTGAACTTCATAGAGTTTAATGGATTGTTACATCATCATTCTACGATCCATATAATTCTATAATATTTTTCTTTACAATGTATTGAACACCACAAAGTTCAATAGAATGTTATAAAATGCAATTTATAGTAAATATTTAATAATAAAAACATTCTTTTTTTCCATTGAAGAGTTCAATGGCCATTGAACTCCAAATCTATTGAATGCCAAGGTGGCATCTCACAGTGGTTGAGCTTTATCCATTGAATGACACATGAACTTGCCACATCATTCAACTCTCCCATTAAACTCACCATTATGGATGCTCTTATAGGCATTCCAAATAAATCTAAAGGTAGTTATAGCAATTAACAATAGACATTTTCAAAATTCGAAAAGCTGAAAACAAAAGAACCCCCAAAAAAAACAAATTAAGTGGTTACAGGGGAAACATTTGAGAAGCCTCAAATTGATTTTATGATGCAGTATCAAGAATTAAAAACATTCTTAAAACTAATACATAATTAATCTCCTTGATACAAATGAATCTTTTATCTTCACCACACACCAAAAAAAGTGAAAACCCGGAAGTCAAACCTGATATCATATAAAAATACAAATCTCTATAAATTGTCCTTGCGATCGTATTCTTCTATGAAAACAGAGTTATGTGGTGTTCTATTGTGAACAATGATTTATCGGGAAAGCCAAAAGGACCAGAAGACATATGTACATGTCTTCTTCGTTGGAAAACATGTATTGATCCAAAGAGGCGATGGGACAACTTAAAAAGTGTTGCGATTGAAACTCAGGCGCTAACCACATTGCATCTAATTGCAAATGGAGAGCTATTAAGATATGGGTTTTTTACTTTTTTTATATATTATAAACCACTATGAATGCGATGAATCAACTACAAGATCTTTGTCTATAACTTTAAAGGACTAGTCCTCAGCCTTTAGCAATCAGCATGCAAGAATGCAAGATAGTCTTAATAAGCAATCCAGCTAGCTCAAGCTCTGATTCAAATGCTCCACCAGTTATTAGAGTATAAACATAAGTACAAAGATTGTTAACAAAAGTGGAAAGGAAGAGAGATCAACCAAAATGAGATTAATCTTACCTGCCATTCATCAATCTACATGGCAGCACTCCAACATATTTCATTATTATATATCATCAGAGCGTACACTTATATTGCAATTGTAAAAGATAACGAACTATGATGACATAATAAATATTTCAAAACAAGATAGAAGAGACGTAAATCAAAGTTACAGATTTCCACAATTGGAAGATAAAAGAGTCATTACCTTGGAACAAATGGATACATTCCACACGCCACAAAAGAAGAGCCCAAAACCTCTATAAAATCTACCAGAAGGCATTATATTTTTCTCATTAAGATTTGGATACATGTACAATATCACACATTCACACAAAAAGCAGTAAGACAAGATAACAATTACCTTTTAATACTTAAATAACTCTACTTCAGGTGATAAAACTACTAAAGCAAAATAGCAGAAGTATCTTTTCAACCAAATAAAAGCATTTCGATAAACTGCCGACTAATGACTTCATTAATGTCACCTCAAACAACATATGCAACTTACCTTGCAAAATTACAAGAAAACAAAATCATGTATTTGATTATTCTAATTCAATCCATATGGGTCTTGATTGATTTTGTATCCAATTTCATATCACTTTGTTCTGCCTAAATTTTAATATTTACCGAAACTATATAGAAATATTTTTAGAACCTATCTTGTAGTGTGTCAAGAAAATCAATTATCCCACTTCGACTTCTTATTCAGCCGACCCTCGCAAGTCGCCATATCAACAGCAACTGAGACTGGGTTTGATCCACCACCCCGAAAAAGAAAATCAATCTTTTGGATTTTCTTTTTCTCTTCGTCTTTTCTCTTTGCTTCTCTCTTCAAATCAAAATCAGCATCGATTTCATCATAAAAGTCACTTTTGTCACAACCATGGACGTTAAAAACATCCTTACTCAAGCAAGATCCTATCTCATCGATGTTATGATAAGTCACAGCGTGTGTCAAGAAATCCGGGTTACGAAAATCTTTCCTGTTACGCAATTCAGAATTAAAGCTTCTCCCCGTTTTCTTCTTTATTAACAGAAACTTAATGAACTTTTCTTGCAATTTATCAATAATTGCTTGTTGAACTGCAGGAGACGGATGTGTCAAATTACCAATAGAGTCCGGTGTTGTATTATCATTACCAGAATCCAAATTAACAACAGCACCCTTAATGATATTGGTATTATTAAGGGTCTCTGAATCATCGTTCGTGTTGCTGCCATTGTCTCTCTCAACATCTTCTTCGATATCGTCGTCTTCGTCGCCATATATAGAAAGAAGGGAGATACCTTCTGATTCCTTCTTCTCCGGCGCCATGGAAAGATTGAAACACGGGTACGGGTTGCAATGGATTGAAAAGAGTTTTGAAGATGTAAAACTAGGGTTTTGGTGTTCAAACGTAGGTTTTGAATTTTTTATACTTAAAAATCAATTTGATATGGTAAAAACGAATAAACACTTCTTTTGGAAAACAAAACCACTCACAAAAATCGGCTAATTAATCGACATCCGTTAGTTTAAACTACTTTTGTACGTTACCCACAAATTCAATCATCTCACTTACGAAAGAAGCACTCATAAATTACAAATAAACAAATTATTAAAAAAAAAAAAAGAGAGAACAAAAAAGTAGGCATGGTTTACCAACAAAAAGAAAGGCGGTTTCTACGTACAATTTTCAAGATTTAATTCTTTTAAAATTTAAATGATGTGGTAGGTAGATGTATCGGATGGTGTGTAGAAAAAAAAATAAAATAAAATAAAATACCCGCTATAGACAAAAAAGGTGAGAAATTTAAAAATTTAAACAGAAAAAAAAAAATTCCAGCTATAGACATGCATTCCACGGAGGACCCTCTACGGACCTCCGTGGAATGACGTAATCTCTGCGAAGTGGTCGAAAAATAGGTTGTTAGCCTTTTTAGTCTTGCTCCGCGGAGAGAGTAATGCCTCCGCGGAGGGAGCAATTTGAAAGTCATAAATTAGTCTGCGGAGGGGTCGACGCGAAGCTCCGCGGTGAGAGTAATGCCTCCGCGGAATGGGTGTTTGGAGCAGATTTTTAAGAGTTTTTTGATACAAAAGTTTCTTTTTCATATGTTTGTTTCACTAGGTTAAAACCCGTGTAATACACGGGGTTGATTACTTAAATTAACAATAATAAATGATAAATGACTTAGTATAAAAAATAAATAACAAAATTCAAATACATGTAAATCTATAAAAACTAAGAAATAATATTCACATTGTTTTATCTTCCCTAAAATTTTAGTGACAAACCTAATTATAGAACATTAAATTTCGGATGACTTGTTTGAAAGTACATTGCCAAATGATAGATTCCTAATTATAGCATTGTACTTTGAAAGTACATTGCTATAATTTGGATAACCAAAAGTAAAAGATAACAATTACAACAATGTATTTTCAAAGTACAATGCTATAACTTTTGTAATTAGTCACTATATTAACGTAAAATCACTAAAATAAACAAATATTGAAACCTCTCTTTGAGTTTTTATGTTATTATGTGCAAAAATTATGTAAAAAGCTTCAACATTTTGTCAATTTTTACACCGGTTTTTGTGATCAAATTAGTGTGCTCAAATTGAGTTGCATGACCGCCATTCTTTGTTAATGTAGTCTAGTTATCTTCCCATTTAACAAAATCTGTTGTTCCAAGTGTAAGAATTGGTTATGCACAAAATCTGTAGTCTAGTAATCATCAATTTTAATGATAGGAGTTGGGAGGAAAAAAGAAGAATGGAAAATAGCTAAATGATTAATATCTTAAAACTCTAAATACATTAAACCGGATTTTTTTGGCTTAACCCAATAAGTCAAAAAGAAACAACCACTTGAAATCTCTGGTAACAATTTTGAGCTTACATATATGTATGTGATCAGGAACAGGAAGAGATGATGATACCTTTAGACACCTTAAAGGTGTTCTTCATTTAATTGGTGTTGAATCTAAAGAACACATTAACAATTTATAAATAATGTTTTAAAAGATTGATGACATTGCACTTGATCTAAATGGATGTAATCACATAATAAAAATCATCAACCTTATTTATACAAAAAAAGTGACAGTTTTGCCCTTCGACGAAAATGATTAAAACGATAATCTCTAAGGAACAAAAAAGTATTGTTAGCTTTTTTTCCCATGCTTTAATTGATTAAGGATTATACACCCTGAAAACCTAATTACCTTCATCACCAAAATAATTGATGCTGGAACCCAAGAAATCGGTTGAATAATTTCTAAATCTGATACGCTCACATCTCAATCATTGCCTTCATTTAGACCTTTCTAATGAATATATAAATTTACATAGCTTCTAAATCAGTAAAAAAACGAAAATAAAAATCATGATTCATAATAAAAATCAAAATGGAGTCGAAGATCCAGATTCATACCTCATATATGCCCAAAGTTAAAATTAATACCCTCAACTTGAAAAAAATTGTGTTATTAGCAATATCAATGCAGTGATTTCAATAACTTGAAAAAAAATTATGTTATTAGAACCTGTTCTTTGCTGTCAACTTGAAAAAAAAATTGTGTTATTAGCAATATCAATGCAGTGATTTCAATAACCAAAAACAATTAAAAAAAAAGCAGTAAGGTCAAGGCCAATTGAGTAGGCTAAGCAACAACAACTAACGAAAAAATTTCTTTTTTTTTGGACAACTCGTACCTAATGGCTTATTGGTGCAATGCGAAAAGCGGTTTTAAAAAAAATGGAAATGCAATGATAAAAACGGTTAATTTTTAAAGAAATTTAAGATTGCAATGCTAAAACTGGTAAGTTTTTAAAAGGAAAAAGAAACTGTTACCGGTTAGTTTTTCAAGAAAATACAAAGTGCAATGCTAAAATTGGTTAGGATTTGAAAGAAAAAAAAAATGAAAGTGCAACGCTTCTATTGGTTAGTTTTCGAAAAAAAAATGCTTTTATGGACATTCAAAATTGTCAATAGTTGCAACAATAAAAATATAATATGTATAAATTACCAAGATTCAGATTTATTTTGATGTTAGATAACTTCTCTTCTTTGTAGGCTCCACTTCATTGTCACATTGAACTCCTGAATTCCACTACCATCCTCTACATAAATATATAAATCATTAAATTCAAATTGATTTTGGTGATTTTATAGCATTTGAACATAACTGTAACTTACTTTGATGTTAATTTACCTGAAAAAAGAAGAGAATACCCAGATTAAAATACCAAAGTTTTGCTAGAGTGTATATTGGCATTAACCCATCTTCCCCATGTTGTCAAGGCTTTACCAAAAGTTGTCACCGCAAAACTGGAAGACTGGACCTCCATTGCACACAGGCCACACAAGACTCGTGGCAGCAACACTGTTGATTTTCTTGTCCTTCTAATAGCTGCACAACTAACAAAATTCTAAATCAGTAACCTGGTAAAAGTCAACGATAACAGAAGAGAGAATGAGGAGGGGTCAGATTTTATGTTTGAAAGACAAATTATTTTCACACCCAAATGACGATTGTTGTGACCTACAAATCGCAATTGTTGTGACCCAGATGAAAACCCACATGCAAAATACTATCTTCCTTCACTCTATATATCGGTTATTCTATTCCAGTCAATGAAAACACAAAATCGATTGCAATCCTTTCTGCCTCTTTCCTGTGGTCGCACAAGCCAAACAAATCAAAAGACATGTGATCAGAAGGTGGGATTCATAGAGGAAAAACAAATTAATACCAACAAACGGTGGAACCGGCAGGTAATACTAATTTTAGAGAGATTAATAAGTGTTTCAACATACCTGCTATCTTTTCTCTCACCCGTCTTACTATCAACAATTGTTAACTTTTTTGTGTGAGGCTTGCAAAAATAGCTTTACAATCCAATTCAGCTTACTTCTGTAAACAAAAACATTAACAAAGATTTATCTGAAGGCAAATTACACAACAAAAACCACAAATTCAATTTCGATAAGCCCTAAAAATAGATAAATAAAGAAATCCTATTAACCCTTAGCCACAAAAGCAAATAAGACAAAATTAAGAGGAACACGGGATTCAATTCTGGTGCCAGGAGTGATTTCCTCTTATCATAACAATAAATGATCATATATAGAAACTATCGTGTATAAGATTGAACTTTGAAGAGTGGAAGAAAATCACTTACAAAGTGAAGAAGTGGAGGAAGATTCGCAGAGCCACACATGAAGTGGAGAAAGGAAACGAACTAAAACCTAGTTTACAGAGAAAGAGAATTAGAGAAGGATGACAGTGAAGCGGCAATCGCAAGAGAAGAATAGGCCTTTTTTTCAAAAACGTGGAGACTCTACCCATAAAAAGCTCAAAATGGAGTCGAAGATCCAGATTCATACCTCATATATGCCCAAAGTTAAAATTAATACCCTCAAACCACTATTAACTGGATCTCAGGGAAGATAACCCAAATCTCAATGAAGATTAAAAGGTTTTGTTGATCGAAAAAAAGTTAACAGAAGATTGTTGGCAGCGATGAATACCATCCAAAACCCTAAACTTTCGTCGGGAGAAGATTGTTTGCCTATAAGAAGTCAGCATATCAAATACCTATTTACAAGCAGAGTATATCGTTGATTGATTCTAGATTTTAGGAAAAAATTAGAGTACAGAGACGAAAAAATAGGCAAACTGAATTGCGCCGATTCAATTTGAAGTGAAGGACATTTACGTAAATTGAACTGAAGAAAAGAAGCGGGAAAACTCTATTTTAGGGGCCTGGGAGACCGACACGTGGCACGATTCTACTTATTTATTAGGATAGGATTTTAGTTCGTTTTCATTTGATTTTCAAAACCAAATATAAGTTTTGTTATTTTATGTATTGGAGGTTTTTGACAGATAAGTAATGGGATTAACACCTATGTTAGACCAAAGTTAAACAACTTGGGTTTACTGCTTCCGTCTAATTTTGATTGTCGAATATTGTTTGATTTGGTGAAAAGTAAGGCTAAGGTGTTCAATAGTAATATATCATTGTCATTTCAACACCCGGTTCATGGGTATGTGATGAATATTTTAGATGAAGTAGATGTTCATTAACTCAAAAATATAATTTCTGAAACGAAGGAGATTGTGCATTTGTATTTAGAGGTGTTTCAAGGATTGGTCGAACAGATAGAAGCAGCTGAGAAAGTTGTACCATACAATGTTGAAAACATTATATTTGATAATGTTGAAGATTGTCCAGAAGAAGAAACTGTGGCACTGAATACGGTTAAAGAAAAAAATTTATATGAGTTTGGAAGACTGATTGACAAAACTTTCTCAGACGGTGAAGAGTCAAATGAAGGATGGTCAGAAGATGAGTTCATACACCGGAAAAAAGCTTCAGACATATTTTATGGTATGCCTCCCATACCTGATTGTGCTGATCCTATTGTTGAACTCGGACCATTTCACAATTTAGGTCCAAATGATGATATGTTTGTTCGTCAAACATATGACAACAAACAATAACCAATTTTTGCTTTGAGTCTTAAAGCAACAAGAGAAAAGTTTCAGTATAAGACCAAACATTCTAACAAAAATCGTTATGAGGTATATTGTGAAATTGAGAACTGTAGTTGGCGTTTGTATGAAAAATGGCTTGATCCCACTGATACACCCTAATCACAAGAATGCTAATAAAAAATACATGGATACTATATTGCATGAGATTATGGGAAAAACTCGTTCCAAGGTTTGGAGGCCTAATGAAATATCAAGGGATTTGAATGCGTTGTTGGAAATCAACGTAGATTACATACAAGCTTGCGTGCAAAACAATATACTATGGAACTGTTGTTGGGATCCTCTGAAGAATGTTTTGCCAAACTTCCTACTTATTTTCACAATTTGAAGAGGCATAATCCCGGTACAGTTGCGTATATTCAAACAGATTCTGAATATTGTTTGCGTGTTGTTTTTATGCCATTAGGAGCACGGTAAATACAAAAAACTTGTTGTTATTTAATATATAATTTTTGTAAACAAATTATAGAGTGTTTATGTGTTCCATTTTTATATATTGCAGCTACGAGCGTTCAAAAGTTTTTGTCGTAAAGTTATAATTATGGATGGTGTCCATTTGAAGGGTGCTTTTAAGGGAACCATATTGCATGCAGTAGCTATGGATGCGAACAACTAGATACTGCCCCTTGCGTACGGAATATGCAAAAAAGAGAGTGGTCTTACGTGGACATGGTTTCTTGAAAAGTTGTATGAATGTGTTGATGATTGTCAAGAATTGACTTTTGTAACTGATAGGGCCAATGCAATTCGCATTAGTATTGAAAATGTTTTTCCACATGCTCATCATGGCTTGTGTGCTTTTCGTATACTAGGAAACATAGTACACAAGTTTGGGAAAAATGATAAAACAGAAGTGTTGTTTTGGAGGCTTGTGAAAGATTACAAAAGAAATGTTATTGAAGAATTGTGGTATAGATTTAGTTCTACTAGGCCATAAGTAGCAGCGTATCTAAGTGAAATTCCCTGTGCTAGATGGACTAGAGCATATTCGCCGTCAAATCGTTACGATTACATGACCTCGAACAGTGCAGAGTCCATGAATGCTTTATCAGTAGATGCAAGGAAGATGCCTATAATACCCCTTCTTGAGTTCTTCCGACGTCTTTCATAGGAATGGTGTTACAAGCATCGCATCGAAGGAGGTATGAATTTTATTTTGACTTTAATTAGGTCGAATAATTAGTTAATTATATATATCTTCTTTATAGGGAAGTGTTCAACAATACTAACCGAGTGGGCTGAAAAAGTAGTTGGTAAAAATGAAGAGCGTACGACAGGATGGTCCGTTTCTAGTGTTTAAGATGCACTTTATGAAGTTCATGATTTCAAACATGGTGGCATCGTTGATCTGAGGCAAGAGACTTGTTCATGCAAATATTGGGAAGGAACTGGTTTGCCTTGTGGTCATGTGATAATGGTCTTGAAGCACTTGAAAAATACTAACTCCGGACATCTGGCTATAGATGCTTACAAAATGGAAACATACCGAAGTACGTATGAGAAGTCGGTTTACCCCCTTCCAGAACCGTGTGATTGGGAGATTCCTGCTGACATGATGGTTGTGAAACCCCCGATAATGGATACACGTCAAGCTGGTAGACCGAGAAATAGAAATCGTATTCTGTCACAAGGTGAGGAACCTATAGTAAGAAGGTGTAGTAGATGTGATAGTACAACACATAATGCAGCGACTTGTCCGACATTGGTCCCAAAGAAACAAAAAAAAAAGGCTAGAAAAACTAGTACGACATCTGGTAGTAACACAAAGGAAAAGGGAAAGGGACAGAAGGGACTCAGGAGACGCTAGAGACGCACGGGACACAAGAGACGCGTTGGACGAGTGGGACGCAGAGAGAAGACTATTGTTTAACGTTTTGATTTAAATGATTGATGTTGTATTTATAATTAATTATGTTTTGTTTTAGAGGACATTAATTTGTCTACTTTGAGCTGGTGTGTTTATTTTAAAGATGATGGGTAATATTATGATTATATTACTGCATAATTACTAGTAGAATAATAACTAATACTCGAAGTTAATACATTCAACAAACTAGAAACATATAGTAAACGTACAACAACGGTAATTAACTTAAGGGAATTGCAAAGGATACTTTTCTTTCTCCATTGTTATGTAGTCGTCCCTTATTCTTATTTTATCTTCCATACGGTCCTTTTGCCTACCAAGTTCTATCATTTCTGCATCCTTGTCAACAAGCCATTTTTCAGACAGTTTAAGATTCTTCTTAGTTTTTTTTTATCCATTCCTCATGATCTTTGATTTTTTTTTTTGTAATCGTCATCCTTTCCTCAACATCTTTTCACTCTGCTGCAATGAGGTCACGACGTTCAGTGAGAGCCCAAGACGAGTCTTTATCTTTTTTTTTTGTTGTTCTTCAGCCCATTGTAGTTGTTGCAAAGTATCCTCCGACATATATAGCTCTCTTAAATTTGGTGATGGTGCAAGAAAAGGCTCGATCGGATCACAATAGAAACAATCAACTTCGTTGCACAAGCAAATATACAAAGATGAAGATGAAGTCATTTTAAATTTAAAAAAAAAAATTATAACTCTACACGAAAAATCCGATGACCATCCATGACTATATATTGTCCCTTCCACTCCGCAGAGAGGTGTTGTCAGTCCGTAGAAGTTTTTGTCAGTCCGCGTAACTATGTTTGTCAGTTCGCATAGTTTTTTGTCTAGTCTTTGTCATGCATACATATTATAATTATGAGAATACAATTATTTATTCAAAGGTAGACATTTTTTATTAAAAAGTAAAGAAATCCAACAAACCATTACAAGTACGGTTAACATAGAACTAAATACAAACTAATATTCGTTGTGATCCATACAATAAAGTTCAGTTGAATTGGCGTGGAGGTAAGACCACAACACTTTCGACTGGTTTTTCCCAATGCCTAAGGGTTGGAATAGGATTGACCGTCTCAGTTTGATAAGCATTTTGATACACCGCTGTACTTCACTTTAAATTTACCATTTGATGGATTTCTGCAATTTTGAGTCTGTGTAGTGAAGCTATAGCATGCTCACAAGGTATACCGCATTTTGGCCACTTACCGCAACTACAAATACCACGGTCTAATTGGACATATTTGGTTGTTGAATACTTAGTCACTTCATATCTATCGCCAACAATATACGTAATCCTACAACCATCCGAGTGAATAAATCTTTTATGAATCACCTTAGGTGCATAAGGGGTTAGAAGATTATGGAAATCCCCTGTGAAATCAACTGAGTCAATAAAAAAACTTATAATGTCATAACGTATAATAAACATATCAATTCACCGTTTTAATGATGTCATAACTTATAATTACCTCCAAACACAGCACGTCGAAGATACACTGCATGCATCGAGTCATGAACCATTTCAATGATTGTTGTTATTAGAAACTCATGCATGTTTGTTTTAAACCAATTGACAACATCGGGAATGTCAATGAATTTAACATTGAAACGTACTCTTCGAAAACAAGCCCGTACCCATTTTGCAATGGGAATATTGTCAAGCCAATGAAGATCATTCCAATTTACCTCATTTTTAAAATTTTTTCAAATATGCATAAAATTGAGATAAATTATATGCTTTACACGTGTTCCAAAACAACTGTTATACGACTGTATTGCTTCCGATGGAAGCGCGTATTTTCTCGGCTATATTTTTACAACAATAGCCATGATATGGTAGACTCTGTGGACTGTAAAGTCTATAGAATCAGACATATGGCTTATGAAACCAAATTTTATATTGTCACCTAAACAGTCTTTAATCCTCCTCATGAACCATAACCATGAATTGTCACAGTTTATGGTTTCCAAGGCAAACACTATGAGAAAGGGTTCATGATTTCCATCTAAAGCAACAACAATGTACATGGATGTTACATACGCCCCAATTAGAGGTATTTGACCAACGAATATGATTGGTATCATAGACGTGAGTCTGTAAGTCAACATAAGAATATTAGGCATATAACAACTTGAAATAACTAAATATTTATTTACTATAAGGGACTACATACCACGCATCCCAATGCCAAGAAACAAATTTGGAAACGATTGTACTGATCCTTCGTAATGTACATGAAGGTGGTAGGATTGCTTCTTTGCAGATTATGGAAAAAAGTCGGTAGGCTGGAGAAACTCTTCCTAAATACCTGATTGACTGAACTCATTTTCACAACTTTCGACACCTTGTAAATTTTCGTCATGGTTTTCCAATTTATAAGGAATTAGTATACATTATTCCACAGAACTTACTTGTCAGTACGCGTAAATGTGTTCTCATTACGCGTAACTTATTTTTCAGTAAGCGTAAGCTGTTTGTCAGATAATGTTTTTTGAATGTATGGTTTTGTAACATTTGTTGGTCAAATATTTTTTGTAAAATAAAGGATAAATACCATATTACATTTAAATGAAGAAATACAAGAACAATACAAAATGCAGTTTGCATTACTGTGTTGTCAGTCCGCGTTATTGACTTGTGAGTCCGCAAAGCGAATGATCAGTCCGTGTTACTGAGTTGTCAGTCCGCGTTACTGTCTCGTCAGTGCGCAAAACTGTTTTGACTAGTCATTGTCAGTCCGTGTGACTGACTCGTCAGTCCGCGTTAATGACTCGTTAGTCCGTGTAAAGAAAATTTTTATATAAATTAATTGCTGTCAGTCCACGTTAAGAAACTTTTTATATATATATTAATTGTTGTCAGTCCGTGTTACTGACTCGTCAGTCCGAGTTACTAACTCGTCAGTCCGCTTTACTAACTCGTCAGTCCGCGTTACTAACATATCTTTGTATAACATATGTTTGTATAAATATATTAAACGTAGTGTCTATACGAAATTCAATTCTTTAGTTGATAGTAGATCAATTATGAAATGGCGTTCAATGTACCAAGTTCTTTGAATGCAACAAATCCATCTAATGCAGCCTCTCCAACAAATTGTACATCTCCATGGACGACAATAGAGTTGTTGGTCCTAATACAAAGCCGGATTACCATTTACGAGGGTCTATCAGTAGTGGCTCCCCTGAATTGCCTTGTAGGTGATGAATGGTCCCGCCTAATAGCTTTGTTCAGCTATCAGGTCGGGCAAGGACACGAACGACTAAAACCTGATATTGTTAGTAAATGGATGGATTTAAAATTTTAAGGTCACATGGTTCAATCGATGCTACACTCATGAGAAAATGCGACGCTCTCAAGCAGATGATGAAGAACTTCTTGAAGATGTGAATGGATATTACCTATGCGAGTTTGATAGATATGATTTCGAGTATACGGACATTTGGAATCTGGTAAAAGATAAAGCTTTTTTCATGTAGATGAGTATTTTATTTCTAATGTTTTATCTAATGTTTGTTAGTCGTAAGAAACCTTATTTTTATGTAGACGACTCTATTGTAATGTCTTCATGTTATTTGTAATGTTTATTTTGTTTGAATGTATGGTTTCGTAACATTTGTTGGTGAATTATGTTTAAAAAAATATAAAAGATAATTACAAGATTACATACTACCAGAAGTGACACGATTACATAATAGAAACAAGTATTTAATATTAATATATATACAAAGTTCCTAATATCAAATTATATAGTATCCCAAATAACATTTGCCATCTTATTTCTGTACAGAAATGCAGCTTCTCTAGATGTCCTTGAAATCGCCACTGGTACCCCATAAACAATCATTTCCATAAACATGCATACAAATACTCCCCAATCCCCTCTTTCAATACTATATTCTTGTTGTGGGGCGTCTACAACATCAACAAACTCGACCTTTGCATTGTCTCTGTGTCCAATAGGGAAATGCTTCCAGTACTCAATGACATCCATCTCTGAGATAATACTATCTTCAAAACTTTTGAATTCTCCATTAGTTAAATACGTTGAGAACTAACCCGCAACTCGTGCTGAATCAAAAATTTCTACTTTCCAGGTATCTAAATGTAGAACCGCCAAAAACCGATGGGCATGCACAACATTTATTACAAATATAACCTGCAAAAAAAAATTAAATTAAATACTAGTAATTTCAGTAATATTATATATATAAAATAATAATTATTAAACTTAACTAACCGTATCCACATCCTTCCATTCATGACAACCTCCAAAACCATCTACTACATTCCTAAATAAATATGATTTTCCGGGTTCCAAATTGATTCCTTCAGGATATAGAGTCCACCGAGCATTCGTCGGCCGCCTTTCCATCAACTGGGATCTCCATATACTAATATGTTGTACATTTTAATATAAAAATGTTAGAATTATTTATATAGATTTTTGTCTAAAAAATAGTTAAAATTTTAATTAAAGGAATGTTACCATAGAAACTAACCACCCTTTGTCACTAACAGAAAGTAACCTCGCCCAAAAATCCGTATCTAGTGGGAGGATATGCAACCAATGTTTAGTGATCAGTTTGGGAGAGATTAAATTCCATTCTTGCCAAAAACTCATCGGACTAGTAGCATAAATACTATCCAACAAGAGATTGTTTGAAGGAACGTCACTACTCTCTGTATTGACAATGTCCTCATTTGTTTTTTTAGGACTCTCCTCTATTTTTTTCTTCCTTGTCTTGCTAATTTTCTTTAATTTTGCTGTCGATTGCACCTAAAAAATCAACATGTTTAATCATTATCAATAATGTAGTATTTTTAAAAAATACCAAGTTTAAGATATGAGTTTTTTACCACTGTGAACGGAGTGCGCTGATACCATACTGGAGCCCTCTTTCGTTGCGGCCTACCAATAGGAGTCACTATTTTTGTGTCATGTTCACCCAAGTCTGGTGATGGCTCCGTAGGTGTAGGCGCAACTTTCTCCTCCAAACCAGCATAGTCGAATTGCGTATCATGGCAATATTCTTCTTCACCCTCTTCGTTTATCATCTCCTCCTCTTCCTCATCTTCCTCATCATCCTTTACAAACCGTTTGTTTGGCTCATCCTTTTCTTCCAATACACGGTCTACTTTAGATGATAATTCAACCACGATGCCTAGTAGACGCTTCACTAATGCCTTTGTGCTACTCTTCTTCTTCTTTACCACCATCGTTTCTATTTCAGGCTGTTGCAAGGAAGAAGCATTTGTGGCAGATTCAGTCGAACATGTATCCGACTTGTACATACTTCTACGAGGAGGTGACTGAACAACAGCTGGACTATTTCGGACCGGAATATGTTGCGGTGGAGGAGACTGTTGCGGTGGAGGAGACTCTTCAAGGTTAAGAGTCCAATTCACGTATCAAACATAAAAGGGCAACATCAGCTCCGTCTCGTTTGCCACCACTTGAATAGGTTAGTTGTTAGGCTCCAAAAAATTAAAATTAAAATCAAATTGTTACTTTAAAATGAAAATACGTGGAATTTGTAAGTATAAATAATCCTTAATATAAAAAGCATACCACAGACACGTTGATTATTCTACAACAGTTCTCCCAAGATAAACGCTGTTTTACTTCTCCAACACCTCATCCTTGGCAATTCTGTCGTGATGCGTACATACAATTTTGTTGACTCGGGGAACGTCTCCAAAATCCAGATCTATAGAAAAGAAGTTGAACGTTATTATCGTATAAAAACAAAACAATGATAAGTAATTAAATTTATTAGAAAATAACCTTGAATGGCAACATAAAACCAGGAACGGTATACTTGTGTATTTTCTTGGATTCGAGATTAGCCTCCTTGAATTGTCTAAATTCTACTATTTCTTTTAAACATTCCACGCATCATACGCAAAGTATACCTCCAAAGATACGTACCCCATGCAAACCTGCAATATGAATATTATTATTATTATTATTATTATTATTATTATTATTATTATTATTATTGTATTCTATTAATACACAATATTTAAATGTATAAGCTATTCCAATCATCTCTATTATCAGCAAGATTGTATATTGCAACGGGAATGCACGTTTTTACGTCCTGTTCGTGGAGTCCCTTCAACACAAACACTAGCTGGATAAGCAGCACAACATCTTCATCTTCGACTTCCGAATATTTAGGAGACATAATGAAGACTTCCAAATCATTCAACCGCAAACGTGCACCAGAAATGTCTGGGAACAAACGAGCACGAAGACTTGAATTTGATTGGCCTTTTTCGTCGTAGAGTAAATCTACATAACGACCACCTTTTAGCCCACAAATGAGAATATATTCCGTATTACCAAATTGCAAATGCCTCCCTTCTATATCAAATAAAAACCTCCACATTTCAAATACTTCTTGAGTCCTTACTTCGTGCAACATCATCAGATCCACAAGTAACGGATCACCATGTGGGATACAAACGACGAAACTTCGAATAATTGTGGTTGTGATTGTGTTAGCCGCGGAAAATACTTATTAATTATGGTACCCACCACACCTTTTAAAGTTAAATCAGCTTTTTGATTGAGGTCTAAGTGCTGCAAAACATAATATTTAAATTTAATTTCATATAACAGAAAGATAAAAAAAATCTACAAAAAACAGTTTTAAGATCATTCTGCGAAGGGTAGAGGTCATTCCGCGGAGAAGCCTCTGTGGATAGACCTTCACCCTCCGCGGAGCCTCTTTTCTATATTTCGTGGAGCATTGCTTCACTCCGCGGAGGGTCCTCCGTGGACAGATATATTCCTCCGCGGAATGGATCTTCCCCACCGCGGAATGGATCTTTCCACCAAACCCTAAACCCCCCATTTTTTTAGTTCGTATCCCATTTTTTCCGTTCCTTTTTCCTATTTATTCAGTTTAATCTAATCGGGTTTCAACAATTTCGTAACATATAATCAATTAATCGAAATAAAGGAAAGTGACAATTACCCGGGAGCCTAAACCATAGCTCAAAATATTGGGGAGATTCTCCTCCATTACAACTGCCGGAAGTCGATTTTGGTCGCCGGTTTCGTCGTCGGCAATTGGCGGTCGTCGGAGTGCTGTTGGAGAAGACGAAGATTCGATGCGGAGACTCATCTTCGTAAACACGGAATGGGGGACCAGTGGGGGGAGCAAAGAGGAGGCCAGTTTTGTAAAAAAGATGAATGTGAAATACCAAAATTACCCCTCTCCGTGGAGGTAAATTACAAAAATACCCCTCTCCGCGGAGGTCCGCAAATGGCCCTCCGCGGAATGCATGTCTATTGCTAGAAATTCTTTTTTTGTGTCTAAATTTTTAAATTCCCCCCATTTTTTTTTGTCTATAGCCGGTATTTTCTCAATAAAAAAAATACAATTTTGATACTTCAATTCAAAACATATCTTATATTTTATCCACAATTTTTATTATTAAAGACCGTAAAAGTTATCTTTAGTATATACTAGTGAAGAATCCCATTTGTGGGATTACACATGAATGACCAATAGATGTAGATACAGTATCTAACATACCATTATCATATCTCTTTCATGAAATTTTTTTATGATATTTTTGTTTTCGTTGGTCTGTGCTTGTGAACGACTATATGCAAATGATCATATCCTACAACAATTAGAACCATATGCTTCATTTCTTATGCATAGTCCAATTGGCTTACGCTAAAGAAACATAGTGTGGATTAACATACCTCAACTAATATTTATATTAAAAATTAAGAAATTAAAATAAAAAATGGTGAACGTATTTATGAAGTTTTTTATCACCTTTTCTTTTTATCACTTGCCATGATAATCCGCTATTGGGTTCAATTTCAATCTGAGAAATCTCCAAACCATAGTTTTTAACTAACTCCATGTACCTGCAACAGCTTATGCATATATAAAGAAAGTTAATTGCTATAATACATTATTTTTTAGCTTACATGGTTGAAATGACAAAAGAAAAAAAAGCTCAAAATGATCAAATTGACGAAAATGGTCAAATTGATCAAAATGGTGAAAATGAATACCTTGAGCAAAAAAATTATATTTCCTACTTTAAGTGTTTCATATCATATAAATTTTTTTGTTTTCTGTTTAAACTGGTCAAATTCCGAAAAAAAAACTACAATAAAATGACCAAATCGGATAAAAAGGTCAAAATGGTTCTTTTGACTAAGATATTAAAAAAAAAAAAAATCAAACTTTATGTTTTAAAAGTTTCATTTCAATGTTTTTTTTTTCAACTTAAGTATGGCAAATTATGAAACATTTTTTTTTCTTAAGAGTGACAAAGTAGACAAAAGAAGGTAAACTCACTCAATTACCTAAAACTAATGTAAAACATATACTCATACTTCATAGACAAAATACCAAATAAACCTGCATTGCGGACGTTTCTGAAAAGTCGATAATTGTTCTAGACCAGAAAGAATCCGGTAGAAGTAACTGCATCAACATGTACACATTATGGTTAAAAGACATAAATATCCCTACATCCTCATCGATGCAAGATTACAACCTTATTGATATTAACATACTTAAATATTGATAGTATAACTATTGGTACCTACGTTTGCTCTTGAGCTTCATATCTAGCATGAAAATCAGCAACAACACATCGAACATCAATAATCGTTATACCACTTTTACGCTTCTGTAAGAAATGGTTGACAACTTTCTTAACCACAGGAGGTTCATGAGGTGGCAACTACAAATTTTGATAGATTCAAGCTTAACTGAAGGCCAACTGGAGTTTAGAAACTACAAAAATTATTATTTTCAATAGGATAAAAATAATCTATTTGTTCTTATTTCCGATTTCAAAACATACATGCGAGTATGCAACCATATTTGCACACAAGAAGGACAACATAGTTGATAAAAACATATAGATGGTTTATCAAGCCAAAGCATTGCATGGCATAAGTTAATCTCCAAGATTTATCAAGCAAAATCATTTTATTACATTAATTATAAAACAAACTACAATGATGACATCAGAACATATATTAGAAAACAACTTCCAGCAACTAGTTTATTCACATGCAGTTCCCAATCAGTCCTGAAAGCACGAACTTGAAAAATAGTAAATTGTATCATGTGACAGACATGTGTTAGAGCACAAAAATAGGCATATTGTCACACCACCAAACCGGAACGGCGGAAACATTCGGGGGCGGAGGACGTCATGTTCAATATCATAACCATACTGAAGAAAGTAAACACAACTATCATAAATATAATTTAAAAGGTTACATCGTTGCAAAATTACATGTTTCCAAATAAATTACATATGATGTCAAAATAGTTCAAAAGAAATATGCGCCTTAGCATCTTGTCTTCAAAAATCTTGTGGTTACCTGTATTACTGAATACCTGAGAATACAAGTTGTTTTTGAAAGAGTATCAACATTAAAGCTGGTGACTTCATAAGCAATTTATGAATGAACAATCGATGTTGTTCCTTAAAGTTTGTTACAACTTTGTTTCTAGAAAATCCAATATTTTCTAAAAGGTTTGTTGTAGTCTTAACTGAACCAAGACTTAGTATATGTAAGTAAATCGTCATACTTATGTGTGATTTTATGTTTAAGTAAAACTCCTTTTTGTGAAATCCTTAAATTCCTGTTAATTGTGTGTTTTGTTAATTTCCTATGTGAGTTGTTATAACCATGCTAAGACTCGAAGGCCTCGTACTCGACGTTCTTCAGGCGTCGGAATGTTATGACACTTGTCACCCCAGATCTGTCGGTCTAGCTGTTGCAAGCAGCTTAGGTGCGGGTTTGTCAGACCCAATATAGATCTATACACAACTATCACGCTCTCCCTCGAAGAGACCCAATATAGATCTATACACAACTATCACCATAAATTGTAGGAAATCGTATGGAGCTGTGCAGGTAGGCATTTTAAAGGTATAAACTTGAACTATTTGCATATTATATAGTTTTGAAAAATATTAAGTTTAAGTTGGGTAAAACAGTTCGTGAACAGGTCACAACTTTTCTATTGTAAGCTGTCAAGTTAAGTTTTAAATATGTTTTGGTGTTTTAACTTGTATTCCCCCCTCCCCCCCCCCTCAAAACTAAAGAAAACTGGAAAATGTAGGGGTATGAACTCACCTTGAGTGATTCTTTGAAGAGTGGAAGGTCAAACACGAGGAGTATCAAGTAAAGAACACTTGATGAACATGTGAAAGTTTGGATGATCCTAAGAACGATTTTTGGTGTTAAAATGTGTGTAGATGATTCAAGGATGTTGTGAAACATGGAATAACATTCGAGTTTCGATGAAATACTTACCAAAAAGTGAAGTAATAGCTCAAGAACACCTTCAAAGAGTGGCTGGAAGTAGAGAGAAAAGAAGCTTTCTTGTGGGGTAAGAAAAGTGTAAAAGTTTGGAAATGATCAAAGTAAATCAAGAAATATTCTAGGGATTTATTTATATAGATGTTGTTGGAGCAACTTGCAAAGATGAAAGGATATTTGCCTTGGTTTGTGTGATGTGGATAGGGTTGGGATAATGAGGAAGTGACACATGGAAGGCAAGTAGGCACTCTTGACCCACTTGTGGGGTAAAATATCCTTAGATATTTCTATTAATGAAATAATGATTTTATAATTAATAAATCCTTAGGATATGAATAAAATATGAATATATAGGGTCTGATATGTCAAAATATGAATTTGGGTAAAAATCCCACGTTAAAATCATGAAAAACGGGCTTAAAATGCGAAAAGGGTCAAAAAGCAGGAAAAAGGAGCGAACCGGCGAGGTTTGGCTCTTAGGAGGCGAGAACCGAGAGAAGGGACAAGGAACTGAATGGAAGAGAGAAGGAAACAAAGGGGAAGGCTCGGACTGAAGGTGCTAATGGAACGAAATGGGCCAAGGCTTGGTCTATTTCGGTTGTAGGGAGGGTTCGGTTCTGACTAGTTTCAGTTCGCAGGAGGTTCGGTCCAAGATGTTGACTTCCGTCCTAAAGGTTTAAGTTCAGTTCTCAGATGCTGAGTTCGGTACTGAGGGACTAAGTTCGGTCCTCAAAAGGGACCTTCGGTCCTAATAGAGGGTTTGGCCCTAAGGGGGGTTTTGGCCCTATTTAGCTGATTTTTCAGTATAACTTCTGGTTTTGCATGATTTTTTTGGCCAAGCTAAGGGTCGGGATGACCCGGATGACTATAAAAAGTTGAGAGAGATTTGGGATAGATTTAAGAGAGATTTGATTTTAGCCAATATTAGTGTATAGTCTCGCAATGCAAGGTCCGTGAACCTCGTTATACTTCGTTTATGATTAATTTAAGTCCTCAAAAGGGTCCATAGTCGTGTTTTTGATGCGTTTAACTCCCTTCTTAGGGTTTCACATTGATAAACACATAAAATATCCGCGAAACTTGAATTATTGACATACTGATGTACATTTTCATACAATAACTTTTAATCATACAAGTATTAGATAAGTTTGACAGGTTTGACTTGTTGACTTGAATTTGACTTGTTGACTTTGACTTTGACTTTTTGACTTTGACTTTGACTTGTTGACTTTCACTTTGACTTGAATTTGACGGTTGTCACATTATCTCCCCGTTGGAATAAATTTCGTCCCGAAATTTGCATTTTAAGAGGGACTTCAAGGTTTAGGGAATAGATGTGGATATTTTTGCTTCATTTGGTCCTCACGTTCCCATGTAAATTCGGCTCCTCACTTGGCGTTCCAGCGGACCTTCACGATAGGAATGCGACTTTGTTTCGTCGATTTCACCTCTCGATCCATGATTTTAACAGGTTCCTCTATGAAGTGGATGCTCTCATTGATCTCAATTTCTTCCAATGGTATGACAAGGGTCTCATCAGTCAAACATATCTTTAAGTTCGACACATGAAAGGTAGGATGAACGTTGGTGAGTTCCTGTGGTAATAGTAGTTTGTATGCCACCGGCCAATCCTGGCGAGGATTTTGAATGGTCCGATATACCTTGGATTTAATTTGCCATGTTTTCCAAAATGTATTAATCCCTTCTAAGGTGATACTTTCAGTAGTACTCGATTCCCAACTTGAAAATCCAAAGGCTTCCGTCTCTTATCCGCGTAACTCTTTTGTCGGTCTTGCGAAGCCTTGATCC